TGGCCAATTATACATTTTAAATGCCTTCCTGACTTGTAAACAAAACCATCTCTCTTTCACTGTGTGATTTTGGATTTGGTCAAAGGCCTGTCACTTGCTAGCTTGGCTGCTGAGAAAATTGATATTGATCTTGGGAACAAATACCATGTTTGAGAACAATGTTGCCTTTGTGCATGTGTAACCAATCTCATCTGGTGCACTACACCTACGCTTCACAGACAATGTTTATAGTGAGCATAAGGTAATCGCTGCAGCTGATGGATTATTAAATACAATACCTGAATGCAAGCATGCAGCTGGATTTTTTGTAAATAATTTTAGTATGTGTTTCAATCTCAGAGAGAACTAGGAACCACTTCTTTGCTTTTAGTACGTAACATGCCACAGAAATTTGAAGGCATCCAAATGAAACCCAAAAGATAAGTTTTCTTCTTCCATTTACATAGCTTTGAAAATTGGTCTGCTTGTAGAACAGGAAGATTCCTCGTTTCCCCTCTAGCTTTCTTGCAAAAAGCTGAGCATCAACATTGCTGTAAAGCAAGCTTGTCTCATCCTTGGTAGGCTTGGAGAATTGCTAATCGAGAGCCAACAGAAGAGTAAGAATCAGTCAGTCTTCCCACCTTACCATTGCGTGCTTTTCCCAAAATACTCCTTTTTCTGTCTTCTTCATTCCTAACAACTGAGCAAAACCGGAATATTGGTGTTAAAAACAAGTGCCTATAATGAATGTAAATGACTTCATCACCTTAAAAGAATCCTAAACCTCCAGTTGCTGGGTTTTTTTCCTTCATCATAATCGCCACTCCTCTAGGTAGACTAGTGAATTTCAGACTGCGTTCCACAGACTACTCCATTGATGTCCATGCGAGGTCACAAGGACAAGCAAGCCTTTTCTCAGCAGGCTTCAGATCACTAAACAGAGGTCTGGAGAAGGTGAAAATCACTTTTCTGTCTATTCTTTCTCCTTCTGTCTCCATACCAGCCTGCACAGATGGCTTAGTCCTTCCTAGTCAAATCCCCTCCAGCACTACCTGATGAACCCACACATCAAGCCCTCCGATACATGCAGAGCTACCGCAGAAAGCTGTGGTAGTCTCTATATCTGTCCATCTCTCTCTTAGTGTCCCAAGTCACGTGCTTAATTCTCTATGTTCATGTCACATTGGCACTCCCTAGTGCAGGGATGCTCATTATGACACCCAGCAAAGACAGCATTATGAGGAAATCAAGGTAAGAGCCCCAAAACACATTTAGTTGAAAAATAACATGATAATGCACATTTTCTTAGAGATTCAGAAAATCGACTTGCTAAGGCCACCAAACAAAAGCTACAGTTTTCTTTCTCCTCATACACTCCTTCTTCTTTATTCATTCAAACCCCTAAATTTTTGCTAACTCATCCAATGAAGTTTAAGCATGTTATTCTTAAAAGGAAATTCATAGAAGTAAAACTCAACATTAAGTCTTCATGAAATAATGAAGAGGACTGCTTCGCATAAGGCCACAGAAAGTACAGCATACATTTCTTAAATGTTTAGAATTTAATATGCCTCTTTCAGATCTTTATTTGCAAATGTTTGGTATTAAATGCAAGGCTATGTAAATGTCCTGGTTTCAGAAAGAAGTTTTATTAATAAACATAGACAGATCATTTAGTATTATCAGTGGCTACTAAATAATGAACTCATTAATTATTAACTAAGGAATTCATTAACTGTCTGCCAGTTCTTAAGCAATTCTCTTACAAAGCTCAGAAAATTATTGCTCAAAAAATCAGTGGTCTTCTCTGAAGCCTGACTCTTCAAGAGGGATATTTACTTTTTAAAAGATTTTTTAAAAGGTATTTTAAAGATAAAAATTACCTGTTCTGTTAAAGAAGGACCTATTTGAAAGGGAATTTAAGTCAGAAAGCAATGTAAGGAAGACTTTAAACAATAAAGATGTATAAATGCTTCCTCTCCACAAAAACAAAGAGTGTTTCTACACTCGCCTTTGCAGACTGCATCTTCAAAGCTGATGTTACTGCCAAGAGTAACCCATGAGGGTCTTTAGCCAGTAAATGGATGAAAGTAGAATCTGAAATTTGGTCACACAGGGTCTCAAGAGATCCACTCAGAGAGATGCTTGATGCTCAACCATTTAAGTAATCTCTGTTAAAACATTTTCACAAGAGGAGTAGAAGAGGGTGATTACTGTTTGCAGTTCATGGTGTTTCTTTGCTTAATTTATTCCTTTTTTTAAATAATAAAACCAGGCACAATTAATCCGTGTGTTTGTTTTGCCCTTTTTTTTTTTTTTAATTATTTTCTTTCACGAGGCATAGCAAGGAACACTGTAAGACCACAGGAGTCAGAGTTACATCCTTCATGGACATCTGAGAAGCAAGAAACAGAAAATCTTAAGATATGGTTCTCTCGCACTACGTATTTTTTTTAATTGTTACTGAAAAAACTGCTTGGTGCTCAACAACAGAAAAGAATGTCCCAGGCTGCCTGAGCTAAGATTTTGTTATTATTTCCAGCTAAATAAATGGTTGGATACAGGGCTATATTGCTTAAAGAACTTGTTTTTAAATTCAGTTCCCTGAAAATCTGTTATGGATAAGGATCATATATCAGCATCTTTCAATGCGACAATAACAAGCTAATTGAGCTTCCAGTATAAGCACAAAGCTGAACACAGCTATAGAACATCAAGGAGTGCTGACATTGTTAGTCCTAGGGACACCTGTAACATGCTAATTGCTTCCAAAGTGAAAGGAGAAATCATTAGGGTTGCCAATCCAGAATGTGCTGGGCAAGTTTCAATTAAATATGGGGTAAGTAAGGCTGTAGGTGAGGAGAGATCTGTCAGATGTTAACTGGAAGGCAAAGCACACACAAATGCTGCATCCCAATTAACAAGAGTAGGCACAAAAGAGTCTGAGAGCTGAACCACTGTATAAACTCCACACGATTCACTTTAATGCATTGCTGGCAAGAGTTTCAGTGGGAGACGGACAGCTATTTCTTTAACATCTATCTCACTAACCGCTAAATGGAAATGTAATTCAAAGGCTTCAACTGTGGCAACCAGTGCACCTAACAAATCCAGAATTTTTTCAGGCTCACATCTTTCTAGAACGTTTGCCTCTGCCTGGCTCATATATATCCCATTTATTACTTACTAGACACATTTCCCCAAAGTAAAAGACTAAAGATAGACACTTAGAATTGGCTAACTAACAACAAAAAAATCCAGCTCCTTATGATAGCATTTTAACCAAATGGAAGTATTGCCATTAAAAATGTATCAGATAAATCTGTCTTTTTCTTTCTATTCAGGCACTTTCTAAAACCAGATCACTAAATTTCCATAATATCCATTACACAGAGTTATTTACAATTGTCTCCAGTGAGTTATTTCTTGGGCTACAGGTCATTAAAGAATAAACTATTTATCACAAATATCCCAGATGTGCTATTTGGGCTTTGTGATTAATTATATATAATTGCATTATCCCCTCTGTTTCATAAATGCAGTAACTAAACAACATTACATGCACCATAAATTTTGAAATCTAAAACACAACTGACATTTCCTATTACCACATTTCAGTCCTGAGACTTAACATTAATTTTCTTTCCAATATTCATGTTGTAAAAGCTTGCTTCGCAAAAGCTTGAGCACAAAAGGGTCATAAGTAAGCTGTAATACAAATTTACTTCTATATTAGTTCTTTACAACAGAAAAACATAACTTAAATTCTACTTTTGTAGTGACTTCCACTCACCTTAAAGCCCCTGTTCTATTAGAAATCAAATTACTGCATTTCTATCTCTTACCTATCATGGCCTAGCAAACAGAAGGTGGTTAAACAAATAGGCAGGGACGAGAACACAGGCTGTGTTATATACCGTACAGTGTACAGCAGCAGTCACATTCACTTTGCTCCAAAGCAGTATCCCTTCAAAGGGGTCAGTTAGGTATTTCGACAAACAAAATCCTCTCCAGATCTGGCTGGCTTACAGGGGGCTCCGCTGAAGAAGTGCAAATCCTCAGTCTCCTCTTAAAATACCTTTCCTTGTATCGAGACAACCAAGCCACCTGCAAGGAGAACCAGAAAAGCGTGCCCACCAACAACAACCAGAAATCATTATCTGAGGAAGAAACCCAGCTCAAGGTAGGTCGACAGCTACACCCGCTCCCCGACCCAGCTGCCCGGTGGCCTCACACACCAGGAGCACCGGCTATCGACAAGCTCCTGGTAAAGCCACTAGCTGGGGAGCTGCCAGGGGCTCAGCACCTCGCTGAGTTAGGCTCTTCCCAGCTGCCAAAACATCACCCTTCCCAAAACTGCAGCGCATTACTATGAAACACGTGCCATCCTTTTGGAAACTGCGAAACTGGTCCGCATTTCCAGGAGGCTGGTGTGGAAAAGGAAGACTTATCAATTCCTCGGCCACAGAGACTGCCATGAGGAAACACCACCGAATCCCGAAGAAAACAACGGAACAGGGTTTGCTCCTGGATACTACTTGCTTCAGGCCTGGTGCTGCCGCTGGGCTGAGCTCACCAGGTGCCCACGCGGCCAGCCCTCAGGCTTCTGGTATTACTTTAACACCCTTACGACGGGTAAATTTTTTCTTCCACTGGGGTAAACCACTTCTTCTTCCTTTTTTTTTTATTTATTATCAGCCTGACGTAGCGACAGGGCCCGTCAGAGAAGCCTGCCCGGAGCGGTTTCTGTAGGGTGGGCACAGCTGCGGACCAGCCCGCGAAGCCCACCATCGCTGGGGTTTTAAACACGCCTCCCGCCGACCCACGGCCCTCTCTCCTCCGCCTCACGGCCGACAACAGCACCCCGGCAGGGCCTGTGGGGACGGAACGGCTGCGGGCCGGAGGATTCGGGGCAGCTCCGCGGCCCGCCGGGGCGGGGGGGGGGGGCGCAAAGCCGGCCCCGCCTGCCAATCTCAGCCGGGACGGCCGGAGCTGCGCCTGCGCACTAAGAAAAGCGTGGCGCCGCTTCCGGCAGCGCGACCTTCGCCGCGGGAGGCCGGGGCCGGCGGGTGAGTGCGGTGCGGGCCCGGGGCCGGGGGCCGGGGCGGGGGCCTTCCCTGCCGCTCAGGCACCCCCTTCCCCCGGTGCCTTGGGACCGCGGGCAGGGCGGCGTCGGGCCCCGCCGTGGAAGCGGCGAGGGTTCGCAGCCGGCGCGGGGTCTCGGGTAACGGCTGTTCTGTGTTCAGGTCGGCAGTGAAGATGTCGGCGCCAACGATGGAGGAGAGGAAGGCCTGCTGGGGGGCCCGGGACGAGTTCTGGCAGTGCTTGGATAGGCACGGGGACGATGCCTCCCAGTGCGAGAAGCTGCGGCTGTCCTTCGAGGCCCGCTGTCCGCAGCAGTGGGTGAGCAGCAGCCGCCGCGGCCTCCCACAGCTCGTACTAGGGGCACGCAGCGCTTCTGCGAGCCTTAGTGACAGCATCGGCAAGGAATTACACTCGCCTTCTTCGCGGCGGCAACGCCCGCCTCTCGGACCGCAGGACGAGCGCTGCCTTACGCTTTCTCAGAGATAAGCCTGCGCCCTTGTCAAGCGTAACTTGGCTTGCAGACTTTTGGTCTCGCGGGGAAATTAACCGAGCGGGCCACTGACTGGGCCGAGAACTATGGACAGTAGCATATAGCATAAAGGGAAAGGAAAATACGACCTCCAACTTTCAGATAAATACACAACTACGCAAGCATACAGGCTTACTGTTTAATTTAAAAAGTTCTGAAAGATGGTCAGAGGCTTTTAGAAGTGCACAGAAATTACCGTTACTAAAGATGAAAGGCTAATGCAGAAGGGAGGTGACACACAGGTCTGGGAGATCCTTGGCATCTTAAGACCGGCATCCAATAGCTTCTTGTGCATAAAACCAGCCACCTTCATGCAGTATAATTTCACAACCATCCACTTACACGTAATTTATTCATGTTGTGCTTTTTTAGTTTCCTAAGCTCAAGCTGTAATTCTTAACTTTTTTAATAGGCATTGCCTTTTAGTAACAGTGGTGCCTGAGGGGCTGAACAGTTCCTATTGGAGCCAGTAGACTGAAGTCAGTTAAAAAACCCAAGTACATTCACAGTTGCTGTACTGACTGACGCTTTGAATGCTGCAGTTCTGCCATATGTCATCTCTAGTGATGATGGTTTCATCTGCAGTGCTTTGCACCAGGCACATCAGTGGCTCTAGGCACTGAATACAAACATTACATATAGAAAAGCTGCTGGACTTATCTTTGCATTACAAATAGTCTTTGTTCATAGCAGTGAAAGTACCAAAGCAATAGACTGCTTTTTTTTAATGTTCATGGAAGTAATGGGGGGGTATGACAGAAAACCAAAGTGCACTTTCAAAATGGTAAAAAAAACACACTCCACTCTTTAGTCTTCTACTTCAACAGAGCAAGAAACTCCTAACTAGCATATTGAATTAAAGTCATCCTTAAGTTCAGTGATCAAAGAGACTGTTTATTCCTTAGTCTTGTTGTGATGCACAAAGCCCTTTCTTCTGATGAACATCTTTTCTCTTTTTAAACAGGTTAAACATTTTGACAAAAGAAGAGACTTTTTAAAATATAAAAAAAAGCTTGAAACAGAAGGCTATCATCCTCCAGAAGCTGCTGGAAAGTGATAGGTACTCTGCTTTCAAAATAAATCTAGTGAGGATAACTATTGAAGGAAGAAGCATGAGGAAGCAGAAGCAGCTACGTGAGCTCAAGAACTGGTAACCCGTCTCCCAGAAATGCAGGCTGCTGTTCTTGTTGCAAGGTCTCTTGCATCTGCTGAAAAAAAGATGGCCACGGACAGCTTTTTCATGAGTATGTGTCAAAGAAATAGGGGTGCAGGGCTGTTCACAAATCTAAGGTTTTGAATGCCTAATTAGTCAAATTGTTTCACAGGAATAAATGATTATTTAATAGTGTAATGTGCATATTCTAAAGAGAACAATAAAACTGTTTTCCAGTAAGTGAACAAGCTTTTCCTTAAAAAAAAAAAAAGTCCATTCCAGCTTCCCCTTCTTGTTAAAAGGAGGTGGTGGTATAATATAGTTGTTGCTGACCAAGTATTTCAAAGTATTTTAAACTCTGTTTTAAGTCAGGCATCAATTTATAAAACAGGAGCCATTAGAAGACCTAATGCATCCTGTGCATATGATATGTAACTCACGTATTTCGAGTGTGCTCATTTTTTATAAGCAAGAGGAAGTTTTACATTAGTGGTGACAGTTTTCAATCAGTATCTCTGCTAGAAGTATGGCAGTTATTTATCACAATTCTCACATTATGGCCTTTTGTATAATTGAGTGTTTTTCATTACCTTACTGATGCAACTCCATTTGAAGATAGACTGTTTAGAGCAGGATTAGTAAACTTGACTGTGGAAGACATTTAAACAAGGGGCAGCATTTAATGTAATAACATATGTGAATTTACCTTGCAAAAATTACATAGTCTAGTATATCTAGATGCTGAAGGCATTAAATACTTTGGCTACAGTAAATTTTGATTGTGGTTAGAGGAAGGTACCACTTCCCTTTCAAGCATGGTCATCACAACTGAAGTAACTGCAGTAAAAATCTTATGTTTTGAGTTCAGGATTGTTCATGGTACTATGCTGATGTTCTAATAGTAGAAAGAAAAAAATCACGCACACCACCTGCAATATAAATAGTATTTATTTCCAATGCAACAGTTTTATTTAAGGAGGTAAAGTATTAAGGCATTTAAAAGTCAGTCTGAACACCACAGAGAACAAAACATGCAAAACTTAAGAATCCTCATTCACCCTGAGTTTGTATCTCATCTATTCAGAATTTCATGTTGTAGCACCATAGGAAGTCACCCAGCTACGCTGTAAGGCACAAAACTCCTGGCAGTTATTTTTGTTGTTTTTGCTTGATCACTTGTTGCCTTGTGTACTCCCAAATCAGCAGAGCTCCACTTACATGAACATTGAGTGATCGAATAATACCCTGCTGAGGAATTTCCACACAGACATCCAGGTGGTGAATCAGGTTTGCTGGGATTCCTTCATGTTCGTTTCTATTAAAGAAGAAACAGTAACTGGTATCTGAGAAGACAGGATGTTCCAGAAAGCAGAAGATGCAGAAGCCACAACAGCATCCAAACACCATTTGAGAAACAGTGCATCTGCCCTCAATACAACTGATGAGGGCAAAAAAATGATTTTTGTTTTTAAAAGCAGTAATACATTACAGATACAAAGAAAAGAGGGGAAACTTGACTCAGCTTTGATGTAGGAAAACTGGTAGAGCACATCATCACTGGTCCAGCAATAGGACCACAAGGACTCCCTCTCTGCCTTTACTTTGAAGCTATCCATGTACAGTGAAATAAACAGCTATAGATGAAATGACCAGGGCATGAAGCTGCTGGCACAGCAGGGAAGCTCAACTGCCTGCTTTACATTCAGTAAGGTCTTGGTATGAGGGAATGTCAAGACTGACTGAAGCCTTGAACTGAAAATGTTTCACCTCTTCAGAATCAGCACACCAGAAGATACCAAAGGTTATCAGTAATTGGAACTATGTTTTTAATTAGAAAAGAACAAAGTGATACATTCTAAAGACAAGCTACATACAAAAAGGTTTGAAAAACAGGTATATATTGTCCTAAAAGGACAGGCAAGCCCTTCCTCCTGGTCTCGCTCAGTGGCCCTGCAATTCCAGAAGCTTTCTGACTCGTAGGCACTTTCCTCTAGATTTCTTGAAGCAGCCACCCTTTTGTCACATCTGAGGCTTGCCTGATTACAGGAACTGATTATTGCTTTTCTCTGAAGTCATCCCAGCCTCTGCTTGTACTGCAAAAACTTGCTAGTTCATCCTGTGCCTCATCCTTCATTTTTAAAGCATCTCCCAGCTTTGCATGCTCCCACTCTGCTCCAGTCCTCCTCACCAAGTCAAGGAGGGCCAACAGGCAGCCCTCCTTCTTGCTGAGCTCACTGCAGCCTACACATACAGGGCCCCACATTACTAAAGTGAACAGACAACATCTCTATCACACCTGGAAAACTATAATTCATACTGTTGCTCCCTCTACCCATAAAAAAAAGGAGTTACAGCGTATAGATAGGTTATTAAGTACAAGGAAAAGGATCATTCAGGAGCAGGTATCAGTACCTCCCACTCCTTGGCACACAAAACCAAGCTCTGCTGTTTCCATAATCACTTCCCATTGTAAATCCACCTTTACCAGTGTCACTTGGTTTTCATACGACCACACTCTGACTAGTAGAAGGGGTGGGCTGCAAGAGGTAGATTTACAAAAAAGTGTGTGTTCTTACCCCAGCAATAACAGTGACTTCTCTGGGAAGGAATATTCTGTAAGATCAAAACTTTTAGCTGTCTGCTCCACACCAATAATAGTGTAGCCCTCCATTTTTTTCTGCTGTAAATAATCAACGAGCTGAGATGGTTTCACCTGTCCATCAAAAGTAAAGAGAAATATACAAATATTTAAATATCACCATTTGTAAACTTCTGAAGTTACTGTAAAAGTCAATTTACTTGGACAGTTTTTAAGATGAATGACTTTTATCCCCAAAGACTCTGTCCATATATATAGCTTAACATTTTAAAAGCTCTTCAGCAATAGCACAAGAGGTTAAGTAATGCCACAAAAACGTACTCCACAAATACAACGAGCAAAGGCTTTTCCATGCTTCTGATAGCCCCAAGCCTTACATTTGAATGTAAAAGAATTACTCTTGCATAGGGACAAGGTGCACAGTTATTTAACCTGGAATTCCTTCCCCAAACAATACAACAGCCAGTATTGAAGCTGAGGTGCCTTACATGCCTGCACTACAACTTGTGACAGCTTGCAGTGAAGAATTTCTTAGTTGTCTTGATCCTAGTCTCTAAACTGCTTATTTGTATTAAATGCCAATTTCTTCATGCAACAGAAACTGTATCATCAGTACATTTCTGTACAGACACTAGGCCATGACAATGTGTGTCCAAAAGCGTCCTGTTTTAGGCAAAACGCTCTACAGCTATTTCGTTCTGCAGAAAAATCTTAATAGGCTGAAAATAAATAGCAGGGGGGAGGGAAGAAAAATTTGCACTGAATTTTTCAGATGACTTAAAGCTTATCTTGAAAAACTGATTATTATAAAATATCACAAACATATTTTCTACCAAATACTAAATATATAGGTTGAAACCCTCATTTTTATAAGCTAGATAATAGGTTCTAAAAGCTCAGCACAAGTTAGCTTCAGGCAAACTCAAAGATTATCCCCATGAAGTTACCAAAAGCAATGGACCTAGCAAGATAAATGAAGTGTTGTTCAACTTTTATAAACAAACATTAAATTCCAACCCACCACTATAAAACACGGAGTAAGATGCAGCAATGACAGCTCACATAATCAGTTCATCACAGCAATAAGAAATTAAAAGTATTTTTTAAATTCTCTTTTACAAGGTTGACCCAAAGTTTATATCAAAATGCTCAAGATTAAGTCTCGGAGGTAACAGCGGAAGCTTCTGTTAAATAAAAAGTTCATTTTTGCAAGATAAAAAGACTTTGCACTATGCATCTGATGAACTGAAGATGTATGGTACACTTTTTAGCTATTAAAATGTTTCCATTCACCTCAACAAGGGGGAGCCACTGCTCTGCAGAAACACTAAGATGCTGAAACTGCTTATCCTGTATATAATGAAGGCTGCCGACAACTAGTGCAGATGCCCCAAATATTTCACTTGTACGACATAAACCTACAAACAGAAGAATTAAAGTCATTTTTGTGTAGAAAATAAACACCAAGCCAGAATACTTCAGCAAGTGTAAAAGGACAAAGAATCCAAGAGAAATGGTTACTTTAGTCCTCTATTTTTAAACAGTTTCAGGTGCTTCTGTTCCAAGCCACACCTTGTTCCACATTACCAGAAAAATAAAACCCCAAACAAAACCATTTTGTAACTTAGCAGAAAGATAAAAATTAGAAAAGCACGCCTGACAACGTGCTTCTGCAATACTAATTACACAAAGTAATGGGTCAGTGTACAAGCCTCGGCAGGGATGGATGGACACACACATACGCTTAAGCTCTAAATCCAGCACCTGTTAAATGAAAGGCTTGAGAGAATGACACATTACAGCATTACAATGCAGACAGCACCAACTAGAAGGCTTATTTTTCATTAATAGTCTCACTGCAGTTATTTAAACTGCTAACAACAGCAAGCACAATGCAATAAAGTATTTGCAGGATTTATTGTATCATGGCTTGCACGGCACTGTTAAGGAGTACTTAATCAGGAACAGGCACTTTCCTGTCCAACACTCATGAGAAACTAGTAGGTCTACAAGATTTGGTTTAATTGTTATAGAAAAAAAATATATAAAAGCAAATTATTTCCTTTAACTGCATACACAGTTGAAAAACTCAACTGTAACAAAGAATATAAAAACAGCAAAAAACTGAGCATGATTTACAGCAATTTCTATTTAATTAAATTAATGCGTGCTATATGTAAATACTTTTTTTTTTTTTCTTTAAAACTAAGTATAGGAGACCTCTTCTTCTGAAGCAGGTAGTATTTCTGTTGATTACCATTTTTTTCAGGATAATGATCTATTTTTCTGAGCAGTACTTAAATAATTTTCTAA